GGTTGGGGTCCCGGCGCTTCCCAGCGTCTACTTCTGCAGCACAGAAGGCCAGCGCCGCCGCCAACACGGCAAGCGGCGTCTGCCTCACGAAACGAAAACGACGCGTGCTCGCAGTCGTGCACAGTCGCATGCGAACTGTCCACCCAGGACAAGGGCGGAGGCAAGGGCTCGGCCAGCGGCGGCGGCGGCAAAGGCGACGTCTGGGGTGAATCGGCTGGGCCTTCCCTTTCAGGTTTGAGGGGCCGATCTTCCGGACAGAAGGTTTCGTTATGAGCTCTGCGTAACTCTGGGCCTGCTGGAAATCCACGAGGGAGCCACAGACTCCAATTGCTGCGAGGAAGACCCGCCGCATCCTACAACGAGAGTCCGCGCACCTAGCGTGGGGGCGATGCCTGCAGAGTGTCTTGAGCTGGTTTTGTCCCAAAGGCTCGTACGGTTATGCGAAGCGGCCGTACCAAGCCTCGTCTGGCGGTCCACCAGCACGAATCCGAGAAACTCTTCCGGGCAAGCGAAACTGCAATGGACTTTCAATCCTTCCTGCCGAGGCCAAGCAACCCCGGACGTCGTATGGGTCGTACGGAGGAGGAAGTTTGCCGCCCAGCGTGTGGTCTCATTTCTAATTACATAATTGAACCGCTGGCAAAGAGTGACACCTGCTCCTGTAGGCTATGGGCGGCGGTGAGCCAGGTTGTGCCAGAGGGCGAATCTGGTAATACCTGTGCGAGAATGTGACTGACTTAGCGAAGGGACGCCCTCTGCAGGCGGAACGCCTCAGGGTTTCCCGTCATGAGAAATAGATGTGGGTTCTCATCACTCAGCCGGTTGTTTCATCTCTGTTCGGGTTCGAACGCAAGAGAGATAGTGGGGCTTCTTGGCATTCAGATAGTGCGATGTCTGTTTGCAGCCAGCCTCTGCCAGCAAAAACACGGAGCGTATGTTTGCCAGCCAATGACATGCTGATTCTGCATGTCTCCGTGCTTGTCCATGCTGGGCTTGAGCGTGAGATGCCAGCGGCGAGCTGGTGTAGGTCATGCACGCATGGCACGCTCGTTGCCATGCCACAACACACTGACAAACCCAACAGTTTCTGATGGAAGCCTTTCGGGAAATCGCAACTAAGTTGGATGGAGCCGAAGGCAGAGGAGGGTGGGGCCTCCGAGGCTTTCGCAGGCACTTTGGAAGATGCCGATGCTCCCTCCTGCCCAAAGCCAGAACCTCGGCTTCTCACACGCACTCTGTTCGTTTTTAGGCGCCTTTCAGCACCACTTCTGAGGGAAAAGGACCGCCAGGGCGCCGGGGGCCAGGAGTCTGAGAAGGTGCAGAGTTGCTCTCGTGTCAGTGATTGGCGGGGGTCCCTGCGTGCTACGCCGCTACGCTGCGCTGCTTCGAGAGGCGGGCAGCCAGCACAGCCAGCCCGATGGCTGCCTCCCCGGTCTGGCAAAGTGCACTGACACATCAGTGACACATCAAGTTTGTTCAGGATATCCAGAAGCAGGGCTGGATGAGGCGCCACAAGTGCTGCTTCAAGCGGGTGTGCGCGGGCCCCATGCGGAGGCGCCAGCTGAGGAAGCAAACAGAACGAAGCCGGAGGAGGCGTAGAACTGTCGCAGACACTTGTCTTTTGTGTCGACGAGCCGACAGGTAGTCGTGCGAACGAGAAGAGGGCTGCCACCTCCAGTACCTCCGAAAGTGTGCGGGTCTGAGCACACTGCTGAGCGCCTTGCTGAGAGCAGTTGTGAGCCTGAGGCCGAGCTTGGACGAGCTGTCCAACGACTTGGAGGTCCCCTCAGAGCTGCCCAGCACGGCCGTTGCCCCGGCGCCGGACTCGGCACCCCTTTCTTCCCCAGCCACTGCAGGTCCCGCCGTCGGCTGTGGTTCCAGAGGCCAGGGCCAGGGCAGTGCAGGGGATCAGGGGATGTGGCGTTGTTTTCAAGCAAAAGCAGAGCAAAAGCGGAAGGAGGGTGTCGCCGTAGCGCTGGACCTCGGCTCCATAAGGCTGAGTAGACACATCGCTGTGGATCGCTCCTTGCGTCTCTGAATTGTCTTGTTTGGGAGCTCTGTAGGACGCTTGTGGCACAGCGGCGGATCAACACGGCCCTCAGGCACCTCGCTCAGGCCGACTACGGATCCGAGGCCGAGTCCCCCATGAAGACAGCGTAGCGACGCAGCTATATGCAGCTACCTGTAGTCACTGGGACAGATGGCGACTAAAGTCTGAACTTCCGGCTGTCAGTGTTCTCGAATCGCCCTCTAGCCATCCGTTGATGTGTTGCATGCCCCATGTGCTTTTTGCTCCTCCTCTCCTCACAATTGTTTCTGCCCTTTCGCCCCTTCCTCCCCTCCTCCCTTCCTCCCCTTCCTCCCCCCTCCCCTCCCCTCCCCTCCCCTCCCGTCCCCTCCCCTCCCTATCCGTTTCCCCTTATCCCATGCCTTACGGCCTTCCGAGGCGTTTGGTCCACTCTCAAAACTTAATGGCAGCACCATTTCCAACAGCATTCTCGCGGGATGAACGAAGACGACAAGACCGACTGATTTTTGTCCCGCACAGGGCGTGCTCCTTCCCATTATCGCAACACTGGATGGCTTGAGTAGTTGACACTTGTGAAATGCTGTACGATGCTGCGCACAAGTACGGCGTACGTGGATCTGTGTATACTCCAAATAGTTACAAACACATGTCTGCAGAAAGGGCAGTGGCTCCACACCACTGCTCGCACATGTGGCTGTGCGTGTCCATGTTGCCATGCGACACAGTCCCAAATGTAGCCGTATATATATATATATATACCGCCATCTTCATAGTACAGTCACAAGTAACCAACTGCCCCTCGTCCACATCGTCATCCACCGGGTCCTGCATATGTCGTTCCACTGGACGCTAGGCGAAGGAGGACAGATGGAAAAGAATCACGAACGAAGCTCACCACAGTAGAACCAATGCCCAGCAGCCACAATGTAGCCGCAATGCAGCCGCTCAACAGCCTGGTAAAGTTTTTGAAGCATTCTGACTATGTCGTCGGTTCTGGCACCGCAACAAGTCATTGAGATAATTGCAAGACTAGGGGGGAAGGGTCCGTAACGCGGTTTTTTGGTTTTGGAAGCCTTGCTTCTCAGCGAATCTGAATACCCAGCCTTGGAGGGGCAGCATGCAACAAAGACTCGTGGACAACCACTGCATCCAGCGGTGCTGCTGAAGATGTGGAAAGTACCCATCACAGCATTCGCAACGTGCCCAGTGATGCCCAGTGCCCTTTTTCTCACACTAGCAGTTTTGTGTGAGCAACTCCATATTAATCAATCCATGTTGATTCGGAAGTGTAGTTCGTGACGATGGTGGTTTTGCAGCGGTTGTGAACGGTTGCCGGTTGAAAGCAAGCTAATGTTAGTAGTGCACAGACTTACATGCCGCTCAAGAGTTCTGAAGCGCCTTCCCTGAACCATGGGAAAGTCTATTTCAGCAGAGACCAGAGACCTTGGGGGAAGTTCCAGGGCCGGCAGCTCCGCCTTCGCTGCCTCGCCGGCATGCGCCGCTACGCCGAGGCCGCAGAGGCCGCTCGGCCCCCTTTTGAAGGGCCCCCCCAAAAAAAAGAGCGCTTTATGTAGGATAAAAGGAGTCTATCCTTTTGAGGGGGCCCCCAAAAAAGAGGCCTTGTAGGATAGGTATAGGCCCTTCATGAAAAGTCTGTTGGCGCAGCTTTTCATCTCTGGCACCTCGGTTTGTCTTTAAATGAATCGTTCATCTAGGAGTTGAGTAGTGGGAGATCAATGGGCACTCGGAGAGGTTGCATTAAAGAATTATGAGGGATAGCAGGTCCACTGACCGAAGTTCGGTTCCTAAGGGCCTCACTGTGTGCTCAAAATGAGGCCGAAATGCCGCACCTTGTGGTCATGAACATAAAGATTAGTGGATCACGGGGGTGCATGCAGAGAGAGGCATACCTCTTGAGTATCTAGATCAACCGGTGAGGCTCCTCAATTGCGACTGAAACGGATGGCAGAGACGACCGAGTGTTTGGTGTAGTTGATTCAAGATGTAAACCATCCTTCTTGGTGCAAGGAGTGCAAGCAGATGGGCGCGGAGGCCACCGGCTTCGAGGCAGAACACACGCAGGGAAGAAGCTCACCATGGAGGATGTTCGCGACGCGCCGAGGTGAAATTCTTCTTGGCTCAGCTTCCTTGGCTTCTCCATGCAGATGCCTACCAGACCATGCTGCACCTCAAGGTCTAAGGCTCAGCCCGTAGCATACAGGCCGAAAGACCCCCGGGACCCTCGTTTTCTATAGCTGCGCTGCCCTGCGCTGCCCTGCGCCGCCGAGGCTCTGGCACAAAGTTGGCCAAGCGAAGGTCGTGCACTCAGGGACGAAGTGGATGGGTTTAGGGCACAGTCCCTGGCTCGATCGTAATTCGGTTGCTTTCGCACTCTTTTGGATTTGGGCATCTTGGGTGGGCTGCAAATGCCAGTATTGGGGCGTGGTAAACTCCAAGCTGAACAGGGCTGCGAAACCTTAACTCGTCGTGGCAAGTGGAAGCGGCAATCCTCCAAGCTGCAGGTTTCCGAAATTGCAGGAACACGAATTTGGGGGAGGGGGAGGGAGGGGAGCAGCAAGGATGCAACGTGTGCCTGCGCCCATCATGAGAGACTTCCACAGGCGCAGCCCAAGATCGACTGGAGCTGCTGCAGGTGCATCTCTGTGTCTGTCGATGTGCTTTGGCTTCAGACGTGAAAGTGACTTGCGAGGTGCTGTCTCATTTGTCCCTGGTGGTGGGCCACGGGCGCCTGGCCGCTGAAGAGTTGCAGCGTGCTCTTGCAGAAGGAGGCACCAGCTGCGGCAGGTTGCACACGGCATCACATGGGACTGTGACCGGCATGCGAACCAGATTGCCGCCAGCTGTGGTCGCTGCTTGGCGCACGTGCCGGGTTTGTTCCGGCGCCGCGCTTGTCAGCCCTTGTTGCTGTTCCCTGTGAGCCAGGAAGGCACCACTTGTCAGCGGGCAATCTCCCCGCATCAGATGCTGCCTTTGCAAAGGCGCAGGCTGTCCCCGGGCAGGCGCCGCTAGGGCCGCTAGGGCATCTTCCCTCGCACCTTCATCATCCTTCATCGTTTCGACTTTGGTCTGTGAGTTTTCGCCCATATCCACAGGAGTCGACAGCAGTCTTCTCAGATCTTCTCAGTCTTCTCCAAAGCCAGCCTCCAATGGTGCGATTAGGATCTTGTTAGGTCTTGCTCAATTCGGGACTTCGGGCCATGGCGCTGGGCGACTTCGAGGCTGGCAGGCGCCTCTCAGTGTCCGAGCGAACCACGGACGGCCACGAGAGGGCTCCGCCACGCCACGGCCAGGGATTCCTTCGAAGCCGCAGCTGCGGCTCTGCACGCAGACGAGGGCTCGCAGCCCCAGGAGGCGCAACTGCTGAGCTCGGCTCTTCGGCCATCTTCGGCCTTTCGGTCGGGAGAGGTCCTCGCAGCAGAGAACAACTTGGCGGTCTGCAAATTCTACACTAAGGACTTCAAGACTGCAAGTCAGGACTTCGACTCTTGTGGTCTGCAAGAGATGTCCAGGACCTTCGCGGCGCATGCGAGGGGCTAAAGGCCCGTTCTGCCATGCCTTGCGCCTCACGCAAACTTGGCGCAGAAGCCATAAGCAGAGTCACAGAGTGGCGCATTGATGCATGACCGCTAGCTTACTCTCCCCAGCCCCAGTTGGTGCCTCGAGGCCCTAGTCTCCAGGGATCCGGTGCGCTTCCTCGTGCCGTGCCTTCTGCAGAACTTGGCCTCCTTCTACGAGTTCGCACAGGAGCCCAGGGCCTTCCATGCTTCTGCTGGACTCGGACCCTTCATCTGCTGCAAGAGCTTCTTCTCATCAGCTGTGCTTTGCGCTGCGCTTGCACAGGGCAGCTTTCTCCAGAGAAATAGGCGGATTTTGGGAGCATTCCACAGGTGCATAGGTGTACGAAGCAGTTGGCTGTCCGTGATTTGCTGCTTGGGAGATGCTTCTCCAGGATGCTGCCAGCCAGCGGAAGATCCTGCGGGATCTGGCAGGAGCTGCGCAGTCTGACCCTCGAAAGGCTGACACGTCGGCTTAGTCCTCGAGGCCTTGTGTTCATGGCTGAGGTTGGAGGACCTGGAACCCCGGCTCTTCCAAGCTCCGCAAACGTGAAAAGGCGAAGATGGCTAAGTCAGCGGCTTCGTTGCCATGGAGGGCTGCTTGCATGGACGTGGTGTACCGTCGTTCCATGGCTCAGGCTTGTAGTCAGTAGTTCCAGCATCAAACCTCACCGCCCGCACGCCGACAGTTACCCCAGATTCCGCTCATCGTGGTAGATCCAGTCGTACGGGAACCATCCAGGCGTCAGAGAAGCTCTGATCCTCATTAGCTCATTAGTCGATGGAAGTGGCCTGGCCTGGCTGTCGGGAGGTTCCAAATCACCTGGCGAAGTATTCGCTCTGGAGGCCACTTCACAGCCGTGTTGAGCAAACTGGGCACAGGCAGTATTTTTCGTCACTCGTTTTCCCTGCCGGTGTGGGTGGTGTATGCCTCCGAGTCGCTCGACGCCGCGCTTTGCGATCGAGTGCGAAGCGCTGCTCCGATGCGTATCTTGGACACATCCGCAGGGCACGTTCTGGAAGCGATGGGGATACCCAGGAGGGAAGCGAGGCGGCCGCGAATCTCGATGATTCGGCGTTTTTTGCAGCTTTCAGAAAGCGAGCCCAGGAAGTTGAGCAACAAGCAGCGGAACGGAAGGCTGCAGTAGACCGGAACTGGAAGGAAGGACGCGCGGAAGTAAAGGTGGGCGCGGTTGCCAACGATTGGGTCCGGCGTGTGATCCTAGTTGATGACGAGCTATTTGTTGGCACAGCCTCGCGAGGCGTGCAAAGGTACCGGTTGGGCGGCGAGCAGCCGAGTCAGCTGTTTCCAGTCAGTGGCGATCCGACCAGAAGCGTTCCTGCGGATCACCAGGCGGAATACGATCCCGAGACCAGCGTGACCTCCATCGCATGGAACGGCAGGTGCTTGTTTGCAGGGCTGGCTGGTGGGCGAGCTCATGCATGGAGGGATGATGGCACACTTCTGCTGGACGTGATGGTGTGTTCAGATTCTACACGTCCTTGCTATGTCTATGTGAATGATGACATGCTGATTGCTGCTGCTGGCGAGGCCGTGATGCGCTGGTCCATCGAGGACCTCCTGGCCCAATCTGACCTTTCGGCTCACAGGATCGAGGTGACAAGCAACGTGCACAGCCTGGCTGCTGGCTTCAAGGGGAGCTTTGCTATTGGCCTGGAGGAGCACCGGGTTTGCGGGTTTCTGCAGCTCCGATGACTGTTGCTTTGTGAGTTCCGAGAAGGCTTGTGCTTGAAGCGAATCACAGAGGCTAAGCATGTCTGTGAAGAAGTTCTTATCCAAGGCGATCAGGAGATAGACGATGATAGACTTGAAGCCTAAAGTCCTTAGGTTGCTCGGCTCCTTCAGCCGCGAAGGGGTTAGGGCTCCTAACATTTCACAAACATTAGAAGGAAATGTGTCAACATCTTTCTGACCTTGCAGGACGGAACTGTGGAGCTACGCAGCTTGGAGCGTCTCTCCCTACTGTCGCGAAGACCGAGTGCCCACCAGTTCGCTGTCTCGGCCTTACTCGTCCTGTCAGATACGATCCTGACGGGAGATGCTGCTGGAACCCTGGTGTCCTGGCGGGCGGAGGCATCGACGCCGGGGGAGGACTGGGAGAAGCTTTGGCAGCGCGAGCATCGTGGCCGGGTAGTGGCTATTAGCCAAGGCGGGGGCCAGGTCATCGTCACTGCTGCCCTGGATAGCTTCATCCGCATCTGGAATCTATCGGGGGACGTCCTCTTTGCCATCCCTGAACATCGTGTCTGGCTTGGTTCGCTAAGCATGTCCATGGACAACAGCCTGATGGCAACCGATGGTCGAGACAACGCCGTGTACCTCTACAGATTCTCTGAAGACTGAATTCTGCCGGCAGAACAGAGCTTTGCACCCGTAGGCAGTGGCAGCGCACGGCAAGAAGCGTGTCTTTGCGCCCATGACCGAGAGGCCTCCAGGTTCAAGCTTGTGATAGAATGTAGTCTGCCAGAGCGAGTGGCCGCAGAGGCCGAGACATGCCGAGATATTTCGTTTACTTGCAACTGTGTCGCCAGTGGTCATCAATCTCCCCTTTGCAGGCCTGTGAATGAGACGGTGCCAGCGAAATGGGGTGCACGACTCAGCTTCCTGCATTGCGGTGTTCACACAGAGATGACTTCCCTCAAAGGTGGCTGTGCACTGACATTCGGCAAACAAACCATCACACTCAATGCAACATGCATTAGATTGAATTGATTAAGTTATGCTTGCTTTGGGTTAGTTTGGTGCTGTTAGGTTCAACTTATCAACGTTGGTTTTCCATAGCCACTGGGTGTAGAGCGTAAGGTTTTCCAGCTGATTGGCCACTTCACTCCCCTTGCGTTTAAGGTTTGACACCTAACAGTTATCAGCAACTTTAGGGTAGAGATGGGTAGAGACGTCTAGAGTTTCTTCTCGCTCAGCATTTGTTGTGGAGTTCGGCGTTCTCATAAACGATGACCTGGAAGGGATTCAAGGTAGTACAGCCAACAAGACCCTTTGCACAGTTTGCAGCCGACATTTTCCGGTTTCGGGACTCCTGACCAGCCTTCTTTCTAGGGTTTAATTATTCCGACGTAGCGTGCCTTCCAGGGTCCCTGATGACACCTTTTTTTCTCTCGTTCCGGGTCATGGGGCTGAGGGCTCCCCTCCAACAGCTCTTTTAGGGTTTAGGTCGAGCATAGCGGTCACTTCTGCCATAGTGTTTGGGTGAAAGCATGGTTGGGATTCCGGTTGAGGGAAGGTTGAAGTTGGGCAGACTGCGGTAGGTTAGGGTGAGCCAGATGGTGAGTCACCTTGGCAAAATCGTGTGCGACACGACATGCAGGTTCCCGCGACGAAAGGACCGAACCGGAAAAGACAAACCCAACAAAAATAGGACTCCGCAAAGACCTAACCGGACCTACCCAAATGGAACCAAACTTATGCCAGCCCATTAGTCTCAACCTCAACCTCGGTCTGATACAGTATGATAGAAACTGACTTGATCCAGCGAAACCTAATGGTAAGCTGAAATCCATCTTACGTAAGTGCTTCTTAAACCTAAGCCGGAATCCAATCTCGGCAAATCAATTTGCGCCGTTGCAACCGACACTGACCTAGCTAACCCAAATCTGTAAGTGAGCGTCCGTTTTGGTCTAACGAATGCTCAGAGAAAGCGTCGCTTCGTTGTGGAACCCATCAGAAGAGTCCGTGGCTGCATACCGGGCTTGGCTCAGTGACGTGGCTCCCAAACCTGGAAGCGTTGCCGAGGTTGCTCCCAGCTTGGATCGAAGAGGGCCTGCCGGATGCTGATCATGTGCGGCACTTATGCAGCTTTCAGCTGACAGTCGCAGAGGTTTAGAGGGCTGCTCCACTTTTCACTGAAATCCTCCGACCCGGTGGCAATCTGAAGTTCCGCAGCTCGACCCGTGCAGGTCTTCGCCTACGATACAGTGAAGCTTGTGCGTATCCTTGACCGGCGCTTGGGGCATTGCGCTTAGAGGCGTATACACTCACTTCGCTACGTGCTTGCACCATGTGTGCTTGTGCTCAGGTTTATCTACTGGGGCGTCCAGGCCCTCGTTGCATTTTATATGGTCAGGCTCCCAGGTGTTCCTAGCCGCTCTGAGACTCGGCACTCTGACAAGTCTCTGATGCAGATAGTCATCGTCTTCATCATGAACAAGGCTTATCAAGACACGGTGCCCCTGGCATGGATACACGAAGTCTTTGGCATTCATTGCTTTGCAAGAGCTTGTGGGAGTTTGACGAGAGAAGAGCCAGAGACATTCAGGAGAAGTCCACTGGGTGGATGCTGACGCAAGTACTCCAGTCCGGGCTCCAAGTCGCACGGAGCACACGGGGCAGCACGGGACGTACCATGTTCTGGGAGGTGTCCTGCTGCTGTCATCTGTCACGAGATTCGAGTACTAGCTTGCGAGGACCGAGCAGCCCTGTTTCAACAGACTCTTCACCAGGCCACAGATCTCCCACTTGGGCATCAGCTGGGATGTGTACGATAGAATCACCAATCCCGGCCCTGATCTCAGCATCGCTGCGTCATCATGAGCACGCGGAAACTGGACCATGTCGGAATTCAGGTGAGGCGGATGCTGTTTTCATCCCGACCCGGATTCTCATTACGAGAGGTCAGACTCAGGCAGTGAGAGTGTGAATGGGCGGCAAAGGAAAACTTGCCTGTTGGTCTTAGCTCGTGCCCATTAAGCCTTCTGCAGGAGGATGAATATTGCGAATCTCCATCTCATCCGTGCAAGGTGTGGAGCCATGTTGGGTTGGAGCCCCGCTTTTCCGTTTTCCTCGAATCGAATAGCCCTCGAGGAGGCGAGAGATTGCAACGTGGGAGATCCCCAAGTGCAGCGCATGGCCCGTCCCCAAGGACATCCAAGGACCAAGGATGCCTTCTCAAAAATCGAAGCGTAGCCCACTCAAGGAATGCCAGAACGGTTTCTGCATGCGGCGACAATGGTGTCCTGCAGAGAACGAGAACTGGGCCACCACGGAGGCTGTCGCCTCCTTGAGCCTGCGCCGAGGGCAGTGGCCGTGCACTTGTCAACGTGTTGTGGCCTTTGCCAGACGCATTATCTCGAATTCGACAACGTGGAGCTGTGGTTTAAATCTTACGTCCACTACCACAAGCCCGGCCCCTACCTTCCTCCCCTTGCAGTCCTTGCACAGAGCCACAGCTGAGGTTTGGTCTTGATGTGACCACCGCAGATGAGAAAGCGTCCATTAAATACCCTCAGAGGTGCGGCCTCCAGCCGTCTCGAAGAGAACGTAATCAGGAGTCCAAAGTTCCGCTTGGTGCCAGGGGTGCCAACACGTATCGGCTTCAAGACCTCATTCGCATGACGAACTATGCGCCAGAGGACTTGTCTCCTTGCGCTTAGAAGGCGAGGAGCAAGTTTAAGTGCAGGAGTTCGTGGAGCTGGGTGCGGTGATGGTGTTGAACGGCCTCTTCGACTGCAACCTCGACACGGAGCTTTGCGAGATGAAGGCCAGGGCCGGACATCGGAGGCTGGGCTAAGGCGCCTCTGTGAGGTGGAGACAGCCACAGTGGACACCAAAACCGGCTTCAATCATGTGTACGAGAATATCTACTACGAGGCGCGGGATCGCAAGTGTCTTGCTCCGCAGGCTTCTGTAAAGCCTCTTTTGTCCCAGAACGGTGTTCGCAAGCGGGACGTCTACCGCATGTATGGCATCAGGGTGCTAACTTTAGCCACAGGTCTGCACCCAAGTTGTGCATTCTTGGAGATCTTCGCGATTTGCAGGACAACCTTAGCCTTGCATCTTTCTTTGTTGAGACAGCAAGGATTTGGCGGAAAGACAAAGTTCTCTCAAATTGTGCGCAGCACAGCCTTGCGATCCAGACAGCGAGCGCTTTTCCTCGCAGCTTTCCGAGGTTCTGCAGCTGTCTTCTGGTATCGCACTTCTTGGCACAGCTGAGCTGGCCGGGGACTCACTCCGCGATTTCAGAAGTGAAGCTTCAGTGTGGGAGTGTGCTAAGATTGCTGACTTCTGGCTGATGAACTGTGTGCCCGAACGCAAGCTCGAACCCTAGACAGACGGCTCGGCTCGTGAAAGTCCATTGCAAATCGGGGACGCTAGGCACTACACTGAGCAGAAGATCAAGCAGATGGATGCTGCTAGTGATGCCTGAGCACTGGATGCCTGTATCCTGCCTTTGATTGCAGGGCCAGGCTCGCACTATTTTCGATGAAGGCGTTCTTCATCGGTGCACTAATCTGTCAGGGTGCCGCACATCGCTGTCTTCTACTGTACCGTCTCACCAGTCACTAGTTCAGTCATGACTTCCGCTTGTGACAAAATATCGTGTTGAGATTCCTCATTGATCCACGGCCTCCGACCGCACCGAGTTTTTTTTTCGAATCTGGTCTCCAACACTGCTTAGCTCAAGTGGTTCGGCCGTGAGTTCTTTCGGCGACTTGTCAGCTAAGAACTCAGTGCAAAGACCTCAAGATGTCTTCGATCTTCTTCGATCCGAGACTGCAGTGCTGGCGCCCCTTTGCATGCCTGCAAACGGCTGAGGTTTCCGATGTTTCGTATCGCGATAGCTGTCTGTGCGAGCCTGGTAAGGCCTGCAGTCATATCTCATGCTGGAGCATGTATCAAGTCATAGCACGTCAATCGTCAATCCGTTCTGAGCAGGCACAGCCTAGCTGATGAGTCTTGGCAGGACGCTTGTCTGACAGTTGCGAAGCTTCGACCAATACCTTGACCACAGTCGTCTTTTGGTCGCTGTTATCAGCCCACAGGACACGCCAATTTTGACATCCTTGTGGCAAGCGACATCCAGCAAGGACAACGACGCCATTGACAGGCGTTTCAGCTAAGCTTGTCCAAACATGGGGTTGCGCAACGAGAAACTGTTGCGACTGCCTTGCTACTGTGTAATGCAGGCTGCTGGACAGCAGTGAGTCAGCAGTGTCTTCACGATCCGGCGATGGACGTGGCCTAGCCTGGCTGCTGGCCTAATGACACGTCCTACGCGAGACAGTTGCACACAAGAGATGCCCAGGTGGGCATGGGAATTCCAGAACGAGTACGCCCTTGCATCCATCATTGTGAATGGCGGCGATATCTTGTCCGAGGATGAGGACGACATCCTTCTGCACTCCCGCGCACTCCTGAAACGGGATGAGCTACTGAGGACGAAGCGGGGAAGCCGGCCTACCGGATGTGACCTTTACTGAGTCTTTGTACCAGCTTCTGTGACTCCTATGCATGCGCCCACATCTGTGAGGCTCCGACAGTTCCGACTGCGACAAAGAGAGCCTGCTGCAGAAGGCTAAAGGTCTCGTGGAGGAGCGCAGCTCAACTCGAGTGTACGCTCTGCATCCTTCCTTGTGGCCCCTCACTGCAGGACGTCAAAAAGGCCAAAGAGCAGCGCGCGGCCGAGCGCGAGAAGGCGCCCGCCGGGATCTAGGGTCAAATTCGGTGAAAGAGTCTGAAGTTGAACGGAAGGAAGATTTCGACGATGAAGACGAGGAAGAGCATCCTGGACTAACGGATGACAGAGATTCGAGTTGTCATCCTTTCCCTGCACCCCGCTGGCACAGAGCCATGAAGCCGGCCGAGGCTGGGCGACGACGAGTTCTGAGGAACATTCCTGGCCCCCGAAGCTGGTTTTGAAGCGTGCTGAGCACGCTGCTAGAGTCTCGTGAGATTATAGGTACATAGGTCTCAGTTAATGCGCCTTTGAGTCCAGATCTGAGAGGCTCCACATCGAGAGCACGGAATGTCTCATACATGGACTCCCGGACCTCACAAAGAATGCGCAAGCCTGTGACGATCCTCAAATTTTGTGATCGGATTGCTTCCAGGCTGTGTAATTAGACACCGAAAGCCGATGCAAGGCTGTTAGCGTTGCATGTGAGCTCCAAAGACCGCAGTGGCTGCGCTCGAAAAAGTGCTGTTGTCCTGCACCATAACGCGAGACGGGGCCTAAACGCGAGTATAGGAACCTCAAGCTGCGAAGCACCAAAAATCACTGTTCTTGTCATTGCTTGGAGCAACTGAAGCCAGGCCAAAGGAGCTTGTCTTGCCGATGCATTGCTCAAAATCTTGGTGTAGGTAGAT